TTTTTTGCACACGGTCCTCTGACTTGAATCGCTGCCAAGTATTACCTGTGTAGTCAGCATATTTTTTGCACACGGCTCTAAACAAACTTGGCTCGCTGCCAAGTATTTACCTGTGTCCATAAACAAAAAAAACGTAGTACCTACGTACCAATGTAAAAAAAAAAAAACACTGTGTAAACAACTCCAGTATTTAAGGGGAATAGGTTAGGGTTAGTTAGGGGGTTAGGGTTAGTTAGGGTTAGGGTTAGGGGATAAGGGTTAGTTAGGGTTAGGGGGTTAGGGTTAGTTAAGGTTAGGGTTAGGGTTAGTTAGGGCTAGGGGTTAGGGTTAGGGGGTTAGGGTTAGGGTTAGTTAGGGCTAAGGGTGATAGGGTTAGGGGGTTAGGGTTAGTTAGGGCTAGTTAGGGGGTTAGGGTTAGAACTCCACTCAGTTGACCCATTTATCCCCTTCACCAATCAGAATTGATCACGTGATTTCTCTCAGCCAATCAGAATCCTCCCCTATCTAGACCGTTTATACTACTCATACATGTGAAGTACCAGGTAGTAATTAAGTCAAAAACATCATTAAATCAGTAGATGTATAATTAAATTTAAAACATAATGATTGTAAATGACAATTAATCTTAATAAAGAGTATTACTGTATAAAGCATTGGAAAAACAATTGAAATGCAGTCAAAATATGCATTTTTGTCATAAATATATAAATCCCTTTTTAAAAAATACAATTCCACAATATACATACCTTTCCCAATGAAAGCGAAAACGAAAACGGGAAAGGTTTATGTGTAAGTGATTGAAAAAAGATTTTTCAGCTTTTACCAAATAAAATATGCATAGTACTTTATGTTTACATAATTGCATTACCAGAACCCCTGATTCAAAGAATCTTGTTGAACAATTTAAGGGAGCGCTTTTATTCCTCTTAAGTTTTTATTACAGATGTAGGTATTGTATGTGCAATTATATTCATCAGTAATTTTTTTTTGTCTTCTAAAAGAGGTAGGTTTACCTCCCTTTACGGGCTGGCCATTGACCCCCTCTTTCCATACTTACCTTTAAATCATAGATTTTGTACACATTAAATTTGATCTTAATGCACCTGATGTTCACAAAAATCTACATGACCTGATACGTCTTATTCATTTGAATCAGGGAATCTGAGTTTTCATAAATAAAATTCAACTGTGACAATGTAGTGACATTTTTAAAATGTAAGCATTGTATGTTATTTACACAAGTTTTTTTTAAGAAGCATAATTTACAAAGAAATTCATAGTACAAATAAGAATTATTATTATTAAGTGAAAATATTTAATATTTTGTAATGTGCAGTCTATTCATGTTTTTCTAACTTATAATCAAATTAAGAAAACTAAACAACCAAGCACAAATCCAAAGTAATCGTGCAAAAAATATTTCAGCAAAAGATTAAAGGCATGCAGTCAATGGAGACATCCAACTTAATGGTTTCCACATTTTCCAAGGTGACACATATTTAATTTTTGCAATGATATATCCGGCATTAATTATGAGAAGATGAGTATCACACAAAGTAGGCTAGCTGGAAGAGTCAGATCGAATCACAGTTAATGGAATGCTCTATAGTCACAATTACTGCAGCAGTCTATCAAAGAGTGTCCTTCAATGTTCTTCAAGAAATATTACAAAATATCAGGATAAAAGAGTTCCCAACACAAAATTGTGTTGTCGGTATTTAAATCCAAATGTCATATGAAGGGACAGGTGATTCTCAATTTCTGAAACATAATTATTGTTTGTACATGTAAGATACATGAACTCTATAAATGGTAATACACATGTACATTGAATTGTACACAGAATAGACAAGATATATTCAATACAATATTCTACAAAATGATATTATGCGCTATTATTTTGAATATACATGTAGATGATTACTTGTGAAAAAAATTAAAGTAAAAAAAAAAAATCAATTTCACAAACTTGACATTCAGTAGAGTTGTTACACATATACATGTGGATTGAAAAAAATGTTAACAATTTTACAAATTTTCTTCTGATATAAAATCAAAAATGCAATTATTCGTGAATATGACAACCTTTCATTTTAATTTAAATGTGCATTAAGAATTTAGCACAAATTGTAGTCACAGCAAAAAATATGAAATTATCTAATTTTCACGAATACAATCTTAAGAAAGTAAACATATATACATGTACGAGGGTTGTCCCGTAAAATCGTGGGCAAGTTGTCTAGTTTGAAAAACAATCATCACTGCATTCTGAAATTTTCACTACTCTTTAGTACTTATAATATGAAAATACATAGCAAATTTCAAATAGATATATGCATGAATAAACAAATTGTGATATTTTATGCTAGGTACTGTATCGCCCTACGGCGCACGGATGATGACGTCATGGTGTCTAAAACAGCGTCGCGTTTCATGTTTGTTAAATGTAAAGTTTGATAAACGCCAGTTAAATCTAGAATTTTTTTTGATTTTCATACGTGAGTGTTTATAACCAGTTAAGGAACTAATGCGGCACACTCATGCGATCTTCTAAAGATTTATTAGCAAGTTGCGGACAATATTCTCACCATCATTCAACTAACAAAGAATCTCATATCAACGGTCTTGACAGTGACAGCAGCTTATGCTATTACAATGGCAGACTATCCGTATGTTCTGCACTACTTGGGGACTCGATCAAGAAAACTTTTGTAAGAAAACTTCCATTTCATTTATATTTTAAAGATCTAGTGATATTTTACATATTTTCTTTCTTCAGTATTCATTTAAAGTCTCTTAAGGTGTCATAACAACATCATAATCTAACTGAACTGTTCTCCGGTGCGCCATAACGTCATCAAACGTCGCCATTTTTCATGTATTGTGTTTACCACTTTCCAATTTCGAATGCTCGGGAAACTGCCAAAAATTAACCAAAATGCTTGAAATTTTCAAAAAGACGTCAGAATTGATCAAGGAATTTAATTTAAACAATTTTCATCCTAATCTTGTGTATTTAAAACTTTTATTACGATTTAATACTTGTATATTCTCTAATATAACCTTGTTATTTTTACCGTGCGCCGTAGTAAACATATATATTTTGCATATATATAATCAAAAACATTAGGATACACTTAAATATGATGAATAAACATTTACTGAAAATTTCAGCTTAGTGCGCCCATTACTTTTTGAGAAAAGCGCTTTGTCCACGATTTTATGGGACAACCCTCGTACATAAATACAATAAGAATTCAATATGTAATTTAACAGTCAGATCTAAAAGGAAGATGTCTTCATCTAAAAACAGAAGTGTTATATAATACAAAGAAGTACAAAATTCAAATTTTCAAACAGTGGGTTGTTTCAAAAAATGTCCAAATAGGGCTAATACCCCAACAAGGGAATAAGAGAAGACATACTTCGATCTCTGCAACCTAGCTACATGCAATTATTGCAAATGGCCAAGGGGATGGCCTGAATTTTGCTGACGTGTAATTAGCTGAAGGTCATGTTAATCTCTGTTGAGTCAAGAACACAATTACCCACTGTTCAAGCTTTAAAATGTTTTGGATCAAAGAATACTTAACTTCTTAGTCATATTACTGAATGATCTTGTACAATCATTACATCCAATGAGATCACGACAGATCTCGTTTTCATAAGGAACCTTAATTTGCCAAAGTATATATAACCTTATATTCACCCAAAACCAAAAACATAAACATAAAAACTTTGTGACCTTGATCTAAATCATTTTAGCTGCTGGTCATGACAGCATATCATAATAAAATTAAGAAGAAGGTACAGTTTCAATACAAATTAAGCCCTATATTTTTCTAAAATATGAAAGTGATATAAGAAATTAAAATTCATTCTTTCTGAATCATAGGAATTCTCGGTAGTAAGAATATACAAATGGTATTTCTAATATGCCCTCCTAAATGCTAATTGTTACGTCATTAACTTGTGCATTTTCCCGTATTTTCTTAAAAAGTTGCAGAAGACATCAATTTTCAGTGGAATTTTCTTTTAGAAAACATAAACAAATATTTTAAATATGTGATTTTTCATAGCTGTTTGCACAAAATATCCAAAAATTAAAGCGGGCGACGGTGGCAGACACTTTTTCTAAGGGAAAATTAGCAGAAAAACGAGTCAAATCTGCATTTAACTTAAAAATATGCCAAATTAATGACTCATATTTCAGGTCATAATGCCATATACTTTGATGATTTATCATATTCATCTAAACTAAAAGCCAATTTCATAACTTTTTAAGAACAATAAATTTTTAGGGCACAATAAAGCTCAAACCGTACCGTCTTCTTTGACAAATTAAGACACAGGCAGATGGACATGTTGAATCCAGTATACCCCTAAAACTTTGAGGGGTATACTAAGATGGGGCAAAGGGATGAGGGAGGGGGCATATTTATGGATCTCCCTCTGCTCTTTTTTACTTTCGTGCCCCATTGTATTTAATGCAACGTCTTCTCAAATGCACAGTACACCATTTTATGATCTGACCAGTATGCTTCAATCACATCTGTTTCACATGGTGATATGTTTGTAAAAATCAAGTCAAGTTTCGAACCAGTGTCATGAGTAGTCTTACTTACAATTTGTTTACAACTGAAGCCTCTCTCCATAAAAGTTAGAAAGTCTGTATGCCCAGCAAACAAATCAAAATTAAAATCTCCCATGAATACGAAGTCTTTCTGTTCATCCATCAAAGGCTTTAAATGCACATTCATATCCTGTTTGAATTCCCCAAAAGAGCAAGATGGATATTTGTAAATAACTACAACTTGGACATCTCTACTTTGGTTTACATGTATATTTACCATGATGAACTCCATGGAACCAGTGTTTAGCTTTGAGATGCAGGTTGTGTTGTAGATATTTTTCACATAAACTGCTGTTCCATGATAAGGGCGCCTGTCCATATTATCTGTAGTCTCATGGTTAAATACTGCTGTGTATCCCTGCAGTTGTTAATTTTCAGCTAAATCAATATTAGTTAACCTTGTTTCTGAGAATCCAACTACATCTGATGCAACAATATTTGGTTCATCTTGAATTTGTTGGAAGTGTTTATGAAGTGATCTACAGTTGTTGAAAGCAATTGTAAAAGAATTTAAATCAACTTGGTATAATGGGACGTAACAAAGTAGCAGCGGCACATCTTTTTTCATTCTTTCCATTTCCTCTACCACTTGTTCATCCATAGCCAATGCCTGCTCATTGAAGTTTAGGATGTGCAGATGATTCACTGATCGTACTCGACTAAGTGCTACATAGTGAATATGTGCATTTTTCCTCACTCTAGTCTGAGACAAATCAATTACAATTTCATCAACAATGCAACCTTGCGCTTTATGAACTGTTTTCCCTGCAGCTGGGCGTAACGGAAATTGAATTCTCTGAAAAGTATTGTAATTCAATACAAAAGACCTCTGAACTTCAAAAATTGGTGTCCAGTCCACATTAATCCCATCATGATACAAATGTTTGTATTTCTTGCGAGTAATTTTTCCAATAGCAGCATCAAAAAAATTAACCCACACGATGCTTGGTCTTGATATTCCTTCTATTCTTCTTTCAATAAATTGTACCTTACATGTTGATCCATTTGTTAGACCATCAGATACATCAACATTGACTGAGATATCATAGATCATCCCAATAGCAAGAATCAGTTTTTGCATCAAATTAGCAGTTTTGCTAACATCATCTGCTTTAGATAGAGATCTCAGCAGCTTTTCCTTAAGTTCTTTTGAATAATCCTTTAGAACTGTATCCACTGAATTCACTGTAACCTTTTCTCCTTCAAGTTTTTCAATCAACTGATTGTTGTATGCATCTACTTTAGAATTCTTGTAAAGAGATGAGGAGCATGATGTGGATAATTGTCACTTGTTTCTGTTATCATGCATCTGTGTATTACATTCATATCTTCTTCTGTCATGATATTGTAACGAAGGCGATTTAGAAGATGAGCAAACTCAAGATCGTCTTTCTGGCGCATTATTTCATCCAACTCAAAAATGAAAAAAATGATCCTTCCAGAGATTGTTTGCAAGAGCTTGAGCATCATGATTTAAATCTTGAAAGATCCAACGGTCCATCACAGGTTTAAGTTGGAAAAAATCACCAACAGCAATGATACTTATACCACCAAATGGTTTCTTGATGCCTGTGAGAAGTTGTAGACGACTGTCAATGAGAGCTAATGATCTATTTCCAACCATTGATATCTCATCAATAATGATCAATTTTAGGTTTTTGTACTTTGTACGAAAAGTGTTCAATTCATCACAGTGCAAGCTTTGTTGACTTTGATTATATTTTTGATGTAAAGCAGATGCTATAGTTGCTCCTCCAATGTTGTATGCCGCCTTGCCAGTATAAGCACACAGAAGTATTCTTATGTCATCTGGATTTTCTCCTTCTGTGGAATACAGATATCTGTGCAGAGCTTGATAAAGTGCTCTTATCAAAACAGATTTGCCAACACCAGCACCTCCAGATAAAAATGAATAAATAGGTTCTGTCTTGGTTTTTACCCAGTGCAGGACATGATTGAAAAATTCCCGCTGCTTTACATTTAGACTTCCTAAAAGTTTCAAGTATTCACTGTCTGGTAATCTAACAGAACTTTCATCAGTTATTTGTCTTGTTGATGGAATGCCAAGGTCAGATCCTATATCATACTGTCTCTGTTCAATAGGCCTCTCAGGATTAAACTGAACAAAGTTTTCAGATTCAAGAGATCCCTCATTTTCATCTTCTGCCTCTCTTTGCTGAACATCTGGTGCCAATTCATCAAAAGCTTCTGAAAAGTCCTCATTTGCCATTTGCAAAGCTGCATCAAGCTGTTCAGCATTGAATTCATATTCCTTGACCTTGTGTGTAAGAAACGACTTCTTCAGATGAAATGACTTCTCAAATGTCTCCATTCCTGATATTAAATCAGTGGATTCATTTCTCCAGGGCATGAACAACATGAGTTTTTCTCTATAGTAATTTTCTGGATCAGTTTTGATATTAAATCGGACATATCTAATTACCCTTGGTATTTTACGTCGTCTGATCTTTATGCCATTTCTCAGTGTAACTAATGTATCACTTTCACCAAATTCGAGATCTGAATTGTCATCATCTGACTGATTGTCCTGATCATCATCATTCACTTCATTTTCAGCGAACTCTTTTTCAGTATCTTTAGGAAATACAACATCTAGCTGTGATACGTAATCGGCTAAGCACCAGTTTTCAAGCTGCTTTGGGCGTTTTGCATACCGTTTAATTACATTGCTGCATTCCACATCTGTAGAATTTGGTGTCAACTTTTCTAATTCAGCATCTGTTTTAATGAGAATTACTCGATCATCTGATGGACTTGTGTTGATAAAAACAACATCCCTTGAAGCTTTTGTCATTGGCATTTGTAACACTAAATATGCTGCTTCTTGTGCTCCAACTTCTACACTATTGAGAAAATGATTTCCAATATGACGCACCTGTCTTTTTATGTCAAGATTTCCTTCTCTAGCTTCCTTTGCTGCTCTGTTAAGTAAATCGCTCATCCCTCTGTGATTTACTTATATAAGAAACAATATACATTGCACACGCATATGGGTCCAAAATATACTGAATGTCAATGTTAGCTTTCCAAGCATCAAGAACAACACTATTGTATGAGTTAACCCTCATATCACATGGACTTCTTTTTAAAAAAATCTTTGGACCTCTCAGTGAACTTCTAATGCATTTAATGTAATCTTCCTCAGATATCTTCAGTACTGTGCTCAGGAGTTCCTTGTAGGGCAAATCACATCCATTTTTCATATCATTTAGCTGTTTTTGAATATCATCATACATTTTCTTGTACTTATCAACATCACACTCTAGTGGCTCCAAAATCAAAGTCTCTTCAAGAGGAGGAAGGGGAAAACCAAATCGACATACAGCTTTACCTCTCTTTTCGCAAGTCTGTGAATGTTTGTGCACTTGCAAGTCAGTCAAATCATCCTCTTCATTCTTTTCACATTTCAGGTAATTATCTACATAATTCACTATTTCCTGTTCATTGTTTTCATGATATTTTGGTGCATTTTCTATCCAAACAATCATATGAATATGAGGTGATCCTCTTTGCTGAAATTCAGTTCTGTAGAAGAAGTCTTTTACAATTCCAATTGGATGGTGATCACTTCTCAACACTGAATTCATAAACATACGGAATCTATGATCAAAGTACCTGGAGCAAGTGATTGGATCTTTTTGTACTAACTTTGATTTTTCAAACCAAGTCATACTGTCGATTTCTTCATCAGTATATTCTTTTCCATCATTTAACACTCCAAGTGCTCTGATTTGATCATTCCATCTTGTATCTGCAGCAGACAATGACATAAACCATGTTGGTAGACCTAGCTGTCTTATCATAGCAAATACATCTTTTTTTTCTAGTCTCAAGATATGCAGGTGAATTTCGCAACTGTCTGAACACAAAAAAACCTTCATCATGTCTAACGAGATTATTCACATTTTCGGGATTCTTCATTTCATTTGCTGTCATGGATTTTCCTTTGGTTTTGCATTTCCTAAGAGCCAGATTGCATTTGTCTGTAACTTGCTTCATTTGTATTTTTTTCAACTTGAAAAACAAATTTGGAACAGACTGGGCAGCACGTCTATCAACACTCCTTAATTCCCATTTAGCAATATCTGCATAGGACACACGTACTTGTCTTTCATCATCTTGTAATCTTCCCTTTCCACAAAAAATTGTTGGAAATGATAAATACTCAGCTGTCTGATCTTGATAAAAACTAAGTGGGCGTTGTCCTTCACCTGGAGCAAATGTGTAAATCTGATTCATGTCTCTTGAAGCATCATCTAACAGAGTGTCACAATTACCATCTCTACCAACTCCATCTACTTCACAGAATTCATCAAAATCATTATCAACCGTCTCATAATCATCATCAGTATTTTGATCTCTTCTCGTTTCTGTTTTCACGAATTTCTGAACAATTTCACTTGCTGAAGTTGTAATTTCTTGAAACCAGTTGTCATCAACATTGATATTTGCATTCTTGTAAAAGTCACTATTGTTCATAAGCCAGTGCAACGCCATCAGTACTTTTGTTGGTCGTACATTTTCATGATAATCACATTTTTGATATGACAACTTTTTCTTTAGTTTGACAGGAACTGTGACATTTTCATCTAATTTTCTTGGTAGGCTATTTACAGTAGGTTGAATATCAACAGGAACATTCACAATATTTCCCCTAACAGAATATTGTCCACCTCTTGGCAACTCTCTTATTTGCATAAAAGGTATTCTCAGAGATACAAGCCTTTCTTCTAAAGGAAACAAATCTAATTCCATTGGCTTAAGTGGCCACATCATACCATTTAAGACAGACAACTTCGGAATTTTGTTTTCTCTTATTGATGAACAGCAAGTATTGCAAATCCATTCCATATTTTCAACAGAGACAGTGCTTGTAAGAAACTTGCTTTTAAACTTATTATCTAGTTTGAGGTTTTCCACTTTAGAAACACTTTCCTTGAACCATGTTTGCTGACAACATGAGCATACAAAAATTGGACCATGTTTAATCTGTTCATGAAAATTTTGAATGCAATCCCCTATATCTACTCCGAATCTTTTCCTTCTTTTTTGTTCATTTACTTTTTCACAATATTCCTTATCTGCTCTTTGCTTCTGTTTCTGTTCCTTATTTAACAATCTCTCATTTTCTCTAAATGACACATTACTTCGTTTAGCTTTCTTTATTAACCTTTCCTTTTCAAGAACAATTGGGTTTTCTCTGCATTTTCTTTTTGAAATTCTACTGCCCTCTTTTTCTTTTTCTTGCACTTCAACATGCTGACGTTTTAACTTTCTACCAGCAGTATTCCTTTCCCTTTCTTTCTCTATAATTGCTACATTCCGTCGCTTTAACTTTCTACCTGCAGTATTCATTTTCCTTTCTTTCTCTTTAATTTCTACATTCTGTCGCTTTAACTTTCTACCTGCAGTATTCATTTTCCTTTCTTTCTCATTTATTTCAACATCTTGTCGCTTTAACTTTCTACCAGCAGTATTCCTTTCCCTTTCTTTCTCTTTAATTTCAACATCTTGTCGCTTTAATTTTCTTGCAAAATTATCCATTTTCCTTTCTTTCTCTTTAATTTCAACATCTTGTCGCTTTAATTTTCTTACAAAGTTATCCATTTTCCTTTCTTTCTCTTTTACTTCAACATCTTGTCGCTTTAATTTTCTTGCAAAGTTATCCATTTTCCTTTCTTTCTCTTTAATTTCTTCATCTTGACGTTTTAACTTTCTACCAGCGGTATTCATTTTCCTTTCTTTCTCTTTTATTTCTACATTCTGTCGTTTTAACTTTCTAGCAGCTGCATCTCTTTCCTTTTCTTTTTTTCTTTTTTCAGCATTCTGTCTTTTTAATTTCCTTGCAAATGTAGCAATTTCAGTTTCTCTGCTTTTTATATCATCATTTTGTCTTCTCAACTTTATTGCATGTGCTTGTTTGTTTCTTTCTACTTGCTTAAATTGTGCATTCTGTCTTTTTCTCCTCATGTACTCTCTCATATACCTTTTTTTGCATGGGTTTTGATCTGAATTTGTCACAGATGAGAGATGATCATCCATTTTGTAAAATCTTTTCTGCAATGGGCTTTTTTCTGGAAAACTATGATGCAAAGTCTTGATTGAGATTGGCAAGATTTCAAACTGCATTGCAAAGTCTATATGCATGCTGTTATACATCCTGTACAAATATGAGACCAAATCATCAATACTCTTGCTTTGCACAAGTACTGAATTTCCATCACAGGCAGACATGCCATCACGGTCATGGGAATGAGAATCAAAAAAGTAATATTCATCGTCTGACACTTTGTATATACCAGAACAAATTGCCCCGATCATTATCAACAAATATCTGGAAACCTGAAATGCCTCCGCTAAAGCTTGATGCAATGATTTCACTTGACTGTTTTGTTCTTCAGAGACAAGTTATCCCCACATGGTTTCAAATTTCTCAATGACATGGTGATTTTCTCCCAAAGTTAAGTTACTTGGCAACTCATCAAATGTAAGTAGCTTGTTAAGAAACATTTGTCTTTGCTGCAAATTCTTGACCAAATTCACATAAACCTGATCTCCTGCTATTAATGTATGATCAATAAACTCTGTGGAGAATGAAAATCCTTCATAACTTTTAATTAGCATAGTAAGAGCATTGCAGGTACACTGACTTCCTCTAGAAAATGATGAAAACCTTGCATCTCCTTGATGAAATGAACCAAATACTAATTTTGTATTGCATACCTGGTTTTCTTCTTGACTACGTGATTTGCTTTGTTCAGCCATTACACCATGATTTAGTCCGAAAAATCTGACGTTTTCCTGGCTTTTTTTCGATTTTTATATTTTACATGCCAGGAAAACGTCAGAACCGGCGCCATTACGAAAACTGGGAAATCGCCGCCTCCAACTGGAGGCGGCGTTATCGGCTCGGTTTTAAATGCTTGACAGTCAAGTTGTCTGTTTGACTTACAATAAATCAATAAAACAATTATTGCTGTACTCACTTATTTCACTTTAAATAAAATATCACATCAAATTTGTATTACAGAGTAGATGAAATATAGTCAACCGTATTTTCGCTGTCATTTGAGCGAACGAGTCACGTGACTCAAATCTCGCCGGAAGTCGAGGGAATTCCTACAGTGACGGAAGAGCGCCATGGATGAATGTTGTGAATGTTGCGGAGAAGAGTTCTCCAGGAAAACGAAAGGTTTTCAGAGAACATCCATAATGCGAAAACCAAAAAAGGTGTTAGGTAATATAAATATAAGATTCTGAATCATCTGCACGATACTTTCATTGAAAATTGATTGATATTAGTGATTATATAGTCCGAAAAATCGGACGTTTATCTACATGTACATTGAGTGTTTAAACTGCATGTGCTTGTGGACAGGACCCCCCCCCCCATTCCCCCGATATTCAACCCTGGGGCTTGATTTTTTCCAAAGATTATATTTATTATACTTATTCATTATATGTACACTATGAAAAAATTGTCAAAACCCCAAAACAATCCCTCCAAAAAAAAAAAATACCCCACTATACATTATAAGGGAGAAAGGTATGCCACTTCGGTTTGAAATTTCCCTAAGTAAATGCAACGGAAGTGCATAGAGAATGTATGATAAAACATGAGAGAGATTATTACGTCAGTCCAAAACTCTCTCGGACATTATCCTAATAAGCGAAACATTCTCTATGCACTTCCATTGCGATTATCTAGGGAAAATTTAACGTTCTGGCTGTAAAACTGTTGAAGGAGATAATCAGTTATTGTGGGATTCTTACAAGATGCAGAGTTAATCCAATAGCATGCACTTTGACAGAAATATATGTAGAGACGATGTGAACATTTTAGGTTGAAATAAAATATATACTTGTTTTTTCACCCAGAAAGACTAGTGGGGGTACAACGTAAACAAACTGGAGTGGCATACCTTTCTCGCTTATAATGTATAGTGGGGTATTTTTTTTTGTGTAGATTGATTGTTTTGGGGTTTTGATGATTTTTTCATATTGTACACATGATAATTAAGTGTAATAAATAATGAATATAAATTTTGAGAAAATGAGCCCTGGGGTTGAATATCGGGGGGAGGGGGGTCCTGTCCACAAGTACCTGTGATTTAAACCTATGAAAATCGGTTTTTATTCACCTATTATTTCCAATGGTGAAATGCACACAAATGATATTTTAAACTTAACGCAAGTGATAAAAACAAACGCGAGTTTTTACAAATGAATTAAGTACAGAATGCATTTAATACATTAACAGGTCTGGTACAACCATTAGATTTAGCTACGTAACTTGATTTACCTACATTTATTAAGTTTAATGGTTATCAACCCTTTTTGAGTGTTAGTTTATGATAACATTCACCCTATCTCTTTAAAGTGTAGCTGGTGTCTTGAAAGACCATTTTCAAGTAGCCGTAAGTCCTGGAAGAAATGCATTCCTGTGCTATCAATGCACGAACCTTTTATCATCTCTTCCTGAGAAGAAACAGGCCTACGCAGAGGCAGAGGAAAAGCTGCGGAAAGTCAGTGTGCCAGGGACTTACGTCAGTAGAAAGATCTCCACCCCTGTGTCAGCTAAGAAAGTTATTAAGAGACAGAGGGTGTCTCCAAAGGTGGTGTCTCCAAAGAAGGTGCTATTTTCACCACAGAAGGTTCCCCATAAATCTTCTGCAGAGACGGTAATTTTAATTAAGAAAGAAAATGCATGAAAATGACAGATACAAAATTAAGAGTAACTGTTAAAGCAGATTAAATGTACTTGAGCCATGAAATTCTACCTCTTCATCTGTATATATACATATATAAACATGTGTACATGATATTTGAAAAAGGTCCTAGACATAAGAAAGATCATATAGTTGACTTCATAATGAATACCATTTGTAATTTTTTTTCTTTTGTTTTGGTCTCAAACAGATTTCAGTAACAGTTAATAGCACCCCTATTGGAAGAGCAGTGGTTTCCTTGTCAAAAGGAAAATACAGGAGTGGATTCAGAAGTTTATTCACTCATAGTAAACCTGCGACGAAGTCTGCATTATCTGTGTTATGTGACACAATACGGAATGAGGTGATAACCTGTTCAAAGGAACTGTGTAGGTCCCAGCTATTTCATTACAGGTAAACTTTAACTAGTGATTTAAAAATATTAAAGTTAACCAACAATTATTCTTGACATTTTTTATTTCCATATTTGTATTGATTATACAAAATTTGTGTTTTTTCTTGCATACAGATAATATGGGGATTTTTTTTTCTGTGTTTTAAATAGTATTGATACTTTTTGGGTAAAGTAAATATTATGATAATTTTTTATATTACTTTTATGATATTTTCTCTCAGAATGTGATGGGATTTTCTTTGGAGCAATATATGGATCAAATGAAAAACATGTGCCCATCTCTGGTGGATATTGTCATCTCATCCCTAACTAGAAAGCGGTATTATAGCAGTGTGTCTAAAAAGCGAGGATCCACAACTGTATCCCTTGTCCCACTCGCAGGCACCATACTGAGCTTGATAATGCATAACAGAACAGGCAGAGGTGCTGTGATTCAGAAAATGAATTCGCTGGTCATGTGGCTGGGTGGTTATAAGAGGAAGGTAGGCTGTTTCTTAGTATACATATTTTTTTTTTATTGTCCCCCCTTTATGTAGGAAATTTGGAATTTTAATTTTCATCTACCTGTACGTCCATATGTCAGCGGGTAAGACTTGTGTTTCTAGACAATATGTATAAAGACCTAAAGTTTTTTCACAAGAAAGTTGTATCATTACTCCTTATGGCTTGAAAAAATAGACTCCTATTGATATTTATAACTGTGAAGGTTGTACAAATGTTTTAATAAAGAAAGATAGTCTCAGTATTAATTTGAACTTGAGCAAAAATGACTTTCTCAGGCTGAATATTAAGCATGGCTCAAAGTCTGTATATGTATATCATTAGGTGTTTGTTTGCTTTTTTTTAAAAAAAGAATAAAAGTCAGACTGCTCACTAGGATTGCATGGCATTGGCAATGTGCTACTTGTATTCAATTTCTGTTGGCATCCTTCCTTTTTCTGCTTTTCATCATCATCACTCTCATCTGCGATTGGCTTTTTGAGTCTTGTGCGCAGGTAAAAATGAATAAATTGCAGTTTTGCCTTGTCTATTATGTCACCCAATGTGGTTTCTTTGTCCTCTAAAGGTTTAAGCTGGAAATCGGTCAATTCAACTTCCATGTTCTTCAGCTCTCCATGCTGACTCTCTCCATTGGGGAAAAAAAGATCTAAGCATTCTTTTATAATGGCTTCTTTGTTCATGTTTTTGTTTAACATCAATGTTCTTTTCCCTCCCCCTCCCTTCGTCTTACATGTTGGTAAAGATTTTTCTTTTCATCGAAATGATACCAGCCGAGGTGAACTCTATGTACATCTTTCTGTGCACTTAACTTGGAATTTTCTTTTCGGTGGTGGATTCTGGATCATCTGGATCATCAGTGCATGTTTCTGTAGAGTTGGCTCTGCTACTTCGTAGTCGATCTCTTAATCGATCCATCAGACTGGATTTTCTTGTTCTTGATTTATTGAATGTTTGTGTAAGAAAGTCTTTTAAGGCAAATCGATCTCCTTTCTTGGGGAGGTATTCCGCTAAATCTGAATCCGTCATGCCTCGGGCAGCATCTTCGTCTATCTATAAAGTATAAAATCATAAATGTATAAATAACCTCCTGTTTTGTTCTTTTGAGCCTTTTAATAATTATCTAATGCAGAGAATCGGTGTCCCCCACTGTGGGAAACAAGAGGCCCATGGGCCTTATAGGTCACATGAGCATCATGCAACAACTTTACAACAATTGACTTTGGTTCATGTTCTAAACTAGATGTCATTGTAATAGTGATAGTTTTATACTATTTTAAATATTATGATATTCAAATGTATAATTTAATAATTATACATTTATGAATTAGTCACAACTGATTTTTTTACTCTGTGTCAATCAATATTGACCAAAACAAATAATTTAAACTCAAATATTGGAACCTTTCACTTAAATAATTAATCAAATAAAATACTTTTTAAATAACTTAATAAAACAACCTAAATGAAATAAAATAAATAATCAGCTAAATATTTAGATCCACTCCTTTTCTATTTCTACACCTGTAATAAACTACCTGAGTAGAATTCAATTTCCTTAAATCCTATTGGTCAAGACTTTTACCTCCAAATTCTGGACAACAGACAAAGACACTTTTTCAGCGACTATGCATGAGTTTACATGCTATTGCAAATGATCTTTAATTTATGAAATTTGACTGACTGTTTCAAAGAAACTGAAAGTATCATATAATTTACTTTTTAAAATACATAACTTAAAATCAAATACTTTCATATTCATAATTTCTGATTTCTGAAATTAATAAACTGAATGAGAGATTTTTGGAGTGAGAGATAAAATTTATTTTGCAGAGTCCAGAATTGTTTATTTATTGCTTATACTCTGCTGCATCTTATTTAAAGAAGCTAGGAGTCAGCTTTATTCCACAAATAAGTACCAATTTATATATTTTTGCAATACAGGTTTACTATTTTATTCGGAGAATTGTAAATGTGATACTTAATAATAATTTCTATTTATTATACTGTCAACAAAGAGAAATTATTTTCTATATGTATGTTTAATATCAGATACTTCATGGCATTTTATAAAAACTCTGATTCAAGGGGAATAACTTGTGAATTCCTCAAATGCCATGTATTGATGTTTTATGATTTGTTATAATGTGAAATTACTATTTTTATATCATGATTGAATATGTATTGTATTTTCAGGGCTATGATTTGCTTGTATGATGACTCTCTGAATAAAACCAATGTGTACACGAACCCGCAGGTGTTATTGTTTATCTACAACCCCTGTTACATCATGGCATTCAAAATTTTGAAAGAGGCACCATAGCTAATGATAAATATACGCTTAGCATGTTTAGTTTGGTTACTTAATACCCATACACAGAGTAGGGGAACAAAAAAATACATTTCAACTAATCAGTAACATTCAGCAAGGATCAGTATAGTGCCACTACCACACATGAACCCCTGCCCCTTGGTCCACACATTTCACAATGTTGGAAAAGCCACCCTTGCTTATCAAAAATATTTGATTAATACAAAAGAGAAGATTTCAATCAATAAAGTCATTTCCAGTATATAAGTAGAGCCCCCCCCCCCTCCGTCTATGGTACCCTGACCTAGGGCCGTTGAAATTCACAATTCAGGAAGAATGGCCCTAGCTCACCATAGCTATATAGGTACAATGTAGTTCATCACGAGTTCACCCAGGAGCAGAGAAGAAGATTTTCAAACAATTTCTGCATTTTCTTTATATAACCAATAGAGCCCCGCCCCAACATCAGAACCCCTGACCCTGGGGCCATATAATTCACAATTTTGGAAGAGGCACTCTTGCTCATCATAACTATGTACTTAGTTAGTTTACTTAATACCCAGGAGCAGAAAAGAAAATGTTCAAAGAAATCATGCATTTTCACTATATAATCTATGTAGCCCCTCCCTAGCATTAGAACCCCTGACCCTGGGGCCACGAATTTCACAATTTTGGTAGAGGACTCAATGCTTATTACATTCATGCCAACAGTTTGCCTGCTTGATGTCCAGGAGTATAGAAAGAGATTTTTAAAGATTGCACTAATTTTTGTGGTTTTAGCCCCACCCCTCAAGCCCCAGGGGGGCGGGGACCACGAAATTCACAATTTTTGTTCCCCTTGACCAATAGATGCTGTATACCAAATTTGGTTGAAATTGGTTCAGTGGTTTAAGAGAAAAAGTTGAAAATGTTCAAATGTTAACACACGACACACGACGATGGACAAAAACGGATAGCAATAGGACCTAAAAATACTATGTAGGACATATTTCTAACCATTTGATTGTTCAATGATATCATATAAATAAAGAAATAAGAGTAAAATTCTTTGTTATGCATAATAAATACTGTAGAAGCACAGATTTTCGTGGGCATAAAATTTCGTTGTTTTGTCATCAAAAATAATTTCGTGTGCATTTAATTTTGTTGTTTTAAAACTAACCCTATTTAATATATAGTCAGATAAAATTTCGTGTGGGATTTAATTTCGTTGAATTTTGTTAACAATGAAATAAACGAAATTTAATCCCCCACGAATATTTGCGCTTTTACAGTACATGTTTTTATCAATTAATAGGTCCATATTGAAGAAAAAAAAAAACAACATTAAAACAATGAATTACATGTATCAGGCAACAATGGCAAATAACAAATTAAAATATCAATAATTTTTAACAAGTAGAAAGGTCATGAAAGATAATATCTAACAACTAGTGTCTACAATTTGAGTTATTGTGTCCAGTCATTTTGCATTTCCTGCACTTCCAAGTCAATGTCATCAGGAGATTCTATCTTGATGAGGGGATTTTAGACAACTGGATTTGGGCAACTTTCCTTGTTCAAACAATATGGAGCACATCTTCATACAGATACCACTGCTTGCCTGTGTGCATCTAGACCCCTGGGAGGAATCGAAGTAGGAAGAGCATTTGGATCCACTGTAGCACAAGCTTTGAGGACGTTGAAAAAGTCTCTGGCAGGAATACAGTACCAGGATTGTCTTTGTCTTTGTCCATCCTAAAATATTTGAAAGAAAAATGTACATATGTAAAGACATACTATAATTCACTTCAATAATACAAGTGAAGTCCAAATACTTGTACATTTTCATAAGTCTTCTGTGCAAACAATTTTTTTATTGATCTCTGTTGAGTAATGATGTGTTAATTCTGATTACAGTAAAACTTGTTTAGTATGAACACGGATATTGCGAATTCACGGAAATACCGAATTTATCTTGGATGCCCAAATACAGATTTTAATTTCACACCCTTTATTAGGTCACTAACTGACTGTGTTATGAATTTATACGGCTGAAGACCTTTTTCAATATGAAAAAAATATTTATGCACTTTATGAAAATATTAAGTTTTAATCCAATAAAAATCAACATAATACCTTTACGGTAACAAGTAATTCAACTAAACTACCTATGCAAAACCTTTCTTAGCCGCAATTTTTATTTACAATAACAACGCTTTGAAAGGAATGGCGTGCCCAATTTTCATATAACTCCTCGACGGTGATGTAACATGGAAATTTTCAAGGCATCATGTGATCAGCCTTTATTCAATCAGCATTCTACAAATTTATCTGAAGCGGGATAAACTAAATTGTTATTCTAATTTATATATGAAATAAAATATATAATATATTTATATTTAATTAATTTAGGTTTTCTTCCTTCTAAAATTTCAAAACTTTACTTTTTCCTTTCTCGAAATATTTACCTTATGAATTTGTTGTTCTTGTTTTGTCCACTGCAATACTTCTCCAAGACCATGGTGATGCAACATACTGGTTACTGTGTTTGCTCCTTTATTTGAGTGTTGAGCTTCATCGACAAGAAGAAATATCGGGCGTACCTACAAATGAATTACAGCTGTATATTTTGGATATGGATGATAGTATTTATTTATTTATCAATGTTTTGTCACAAACAAATGATAAACAAGAGATGTTTGTAAAACACTTATGCCCCCCTCCCCCCAAACTGGAATTTTTCCAAGTCGAAAAGGGCATAGCTCTGTCAGAAATGGCGCAATTGTACATGTACCTAAAACAGAACTTGACCAAGATCTGTATACCAAATTTCATTTTAGTATGTGCAACCTCTGCAAAGAAAATGAAAGGAAACAGCAAATAATTGGAATTTTTTTCTAAGTTCAAGGGGAATAACTCTGTCAAAAATGGTGCAATGGTATGCAAAACAAAATTTGATCTAGATACTCATCTGATAAATCTGTATACAAAATTTCATCTCAGTATGTGCAACGATTGTGAAGAAAATGAACGGAAACTGCAAATAATTGGAATTTTTATAAGTCCAAGGGGCATAAGTCTGTGAATAATGGCGGGAACGTACCCAAACCAAAACTTGACCTAGATATTTATGTGATATATCTGTATACCAAATTTCATTTCAGTATGTGCAACGGTTGCGAAGAAAATGAACGGAAACTAAGTGGACCGACAGACCGACGGACCGACAGACAGCAGCAAAGCAATATGCCCTCCCTTCTTCGAAGGGGGGCATAATAAATAAATTTGAATGAAATAAATTATAAATTCAAATAAGCAACTAATTAATTATATCAAATAAATCCAAATATACATATACCTGATCCCTCGGAGCAAATGCCAAAGCAATTTGACATTTCCTTGATGTTTAAAATAACAAGGGCCCAACTTGCTGTGCATAGTGAGGGTAATGCCCCAAGCTGGTGTGCATATAAGGAAAATTGTAATAAACTTGGTCTTCAAGGTACAAGGTGGGTGGATAAAAAACAAAAATGAGTTAAATCAAAAACAACTCGGTAATGACTTTATCAAAAAGATCTACAGGTAATTGATTATATTAATGCATAGTTTAATCTTAATACAATGAAGTACATTTCTCAGAAATATTTTCATGGTCATCTTATACTTTGCCAGCCTTTAAAGTTCAAACAAATATATATTAAAAAAATGGATTTCTTATTAAACAGAAAATATAAAATTTAATATGTATTTTTATTCATACGTGTAGTTGTGTTACCTCTCGATTTTTTTTCTAGACTGAATTGGCTAAATGTTGACTTCACTTTAGCACTCTGATCCCTGTAATGATCGATTTCTCTGTGTCTTCATGTGTTCAAAATGTCTCTTACTTAGTTAATAATTCCTCCTTTTCTTCCTCATTCAAGTTGCCACTGTATACTTCAGTCATTGTGGCTTATTTCGTTATCACACTCATCATCAGTGTCATCATCACTTTCATCAGATGTAGCTGAACATTCAACTGTTCAAAACCGTCATTTCAAAAGAAATTTCCTCTTTAAACTCGTACTCGTAGTCGTCCTGGTCTATTATTGAAGGGGGGAATGGTACTTGCACTCGAAAACACTACTCTGGCTCATACTTACATAAGATAAGCACAGTCGGCAGAATATCGAACAGAAGTTTACTTTGACAACGGAATATTGGTGCTCGGCCCAAATTTGCAGACAACTCGGCTCACACAAAAGACACCTCGGTCCAAACAAAAATATATTATTTTAATTAAATATATTCATAATTTATGCTGTTATAATATATCTATGAAATGCAAAAGAAAATTAATTTGATACATTTGCAATCTTCCAAGACGGCAAATTGACGGTAATTAAAGAAAGACAATTCATTAGTAACTTGATCATAAGTGCTAATCATTAAACAAACAAGAAGATGCGGTACATCCTTTTGGAGTCTCGAGCGCGTGTCATATGGGGTGGTGACTATGAGGAGTTAATTACGAGAAGCCATAATTGGGAGACTTACTCATGTTAATGAAAAGTTTCTTTAAGAAACCCTTGTTGATATTTTATTAAATTGATTTGAAAAAAAATAGGCCTATGAGTTTTTAAAATTAAGCAGTAAAATATATATATATATATATATATATATATATATATATATATATATATATATATATATATATATATATATATATATATATATATATATATATATATATATATATATAAAATAAACAATTTAAATCAATAAATCTTGAAAACCAGGGCATAAACTTCTGTGTAGACCTATTACATATACCTCCCAATCAACGGATTGTAATTTGATGTTGTACTGTGGTTATGTTAGAAAATACTGAAATATTGAAATTATATTTATAGTATACGTATAGTGATTACATTACCGTGGCATAGAAAGTAAAAAAAAAATTAAACTAATTTAAACAAACTAAATTTAATTTTATTCCTAACGGGCCGAGCAGTCTTCGGTATGGGCCGAGGTGTCAATGATTTTGAGCCGACCTGTCAGGGCCGAGGTGTCAACCAGCACGGGCCGAGGTGTCGTTGGGCCGAGTAGTCTGTCTACCGTCTATATACACGACCGTCGTGCATATAATTTCAATGACTATTCGCACGACCGTCGTGCATATAATTTCAATGACTATTCGCACGACCGTCGTGCATATAATTTCAATGACTATTCGCACGACCGTCGTGCATATAATTTCAATGACTATTCGCACGACCGTCGTGTATATAATTTCAATGACTATTTACACGACCGTCGTGTAAAACATCAAACATGCATTGTGTAATGGTTAGGGCCGTGGATATCGGCCTGGATAGCTCAGTTGGTAGAGCACCTGACTAGAGATACAGGGGTCCCGGGTTCGATTCCCGGTCCAGCCATGCATTTTCTCCTTTCCTGTTACAGATTTGGTGCCGTGCCATGCCCTGGAATTGACAGGTGAAAGACCTGCCAGGGATGAGCCTGGTCTTTGGAGGGCCAAAGACCTTTAAGGAGGGAGGAATGTAATGGTTAGGGCCGTGGATATCGGCCTGGATAGCTCAGTTGGTAGAGCACCTGACTAGAGATACAGGGGTCCCGGGTTCGATTCCCGGTCCAGCCATGCATTTTCTCCTTTCCTGTTACAATTGTATTTATCTTTCCTTGTTTGAAGTGCGAGACGGTTCGTCCCCACAGACCGTTCGCACTGAGGCGTTTCGTCCCAATATTACTTGGTTACATGTATCCGTTGTATTTAGTAATTGTCACTTGTTGACAGAAATCATTTACTTGTTATTGGCTTTTGAACTTTGTTGAATTAATTAAACCATTTGTTTTAATCAATTAAGGATATGGATTCTGAAAAAGAACATGAACAAAAGACCTGACGCACTGATTTCATGCAAACATCTCAGTGCCAGTGGTGCGGATATCTTGTATAATTTGGGAAATATTGCGAACAAATGATGCACAACCTAAATAAAATAAATTTATTTCCTAACTATATTAGGAAATAAAATCGAGAATCTCTCTTTATATTATTGTATATAAATGACCTCAATACATGTATATTGTCTGTCAAAAGGCATTTGAATTTAATTTTTAAAAAATAATTGTCAAACCTGCTTTTTTATGACCTTATGTTACTTAAAAAAAGAACGAAACAAAATTTTATTAATTTTACTTAATTTACCTTAATTACACTGAAACTGCATGAATCAGACGCCAAATAAACGTAATTATATCTGCACATGGATAACTATTTTATACGTATTTTTGATTAGTGGAAAGAAGGTGATTTTTTTGTGAGAACCGTAAAGTTTCCTCTCTTCATTATATATATATGATCTATACTGAGTATATGGTATATATAGTTATATGTACTAGAAATTTATACAGAATTTCTATCTGGTGCTGACATCTTTATTCATAAAAAATGATGATGATGATGAATTAAATCTTGCGTATTCAATTAAAGTTCTTTCTTTGAGAAATGCAATAAATCAAAAAGAAAGTTCAGTTATGCTACGGAAAATGTCTTTGAACTGGATATCAGTTCCTTTGCATCTCCCATAGTTTATCAGTTCATAAATTTTATTGTTGGCATTTTCCTCCTTTCTTCTATCCTGGTATGTAATTCCGTGAAACATTATGTCAACTATTTATTAACTAAGTTGAAAGAAGAAGAAATTAAATTCCAACGGTTGTCATAGTATGATAAAATCATTATGCAGGTGTATAGAGATCTCAGTTGAGTCTCAGAATCTGTATGCAGTTGTAAATGGGAGGAGTCTAGGTCAATATCCAATCACTTTGCTTACAAAGAAGAATAACTATATCCCCAGAAATGAAAGAAAGTCGCAATGAAAGAAGAAATATAATTAATGAATATTAGTCCTTCTCCAAAGCTGTCGGCTGATATCGGGTGGCTGATTAAATTTTTTTTCTTGTGACGTTTACCTTGGGTGGCAGTATTAACAAGACTTTTTACGTTGAACTTAAATATCTTGAGTTGTTTTAGCGGGAAACTTTAGATATGTTTTAAGTTAGATAAGATGAACGAGGGAGATGAATTCAACTCATTTGAGGAGTTTCAAGACAAACTAGGAGACTTATTGTTCACAGAACAATAAGAGGTCTTTCCACCTTTTTAAATTTTTTAGTTTTATATTTCACTCTCTAATTTAATTTTAAGGGAAATGGCTTAAGACAAGAAAATGAAAATTATTTTTTTTTTGTGAAATGACCTTGACCTTTGACCTTGATCAGATCTTCAAGGTCAAAGGTCAAGGGTCACAATGCAATTGACCCCATGCCTCTACGACATTGTGTACTAAAGTAAAAAGTTTGGATATTAAGTGTAAAGAAGTTAAAGGGCAATAAATCATATAAGGGGTCATTCGATCCTTTAGTACTTATACAATGAAGGTGTGTCAAAAGACCCCTAAGACATTAGTGAAGGTTTCATGCCTCTACGGTCTACGGTTTTGAAGTAGTAGCGATAACAATGTTTTTCGCATAAGGGGCAATAACTTTTGATAGGGTCAATCTTGGGGAACAAGAATGAAATCTTTGAAATAGATTGCAGAGTACATATTAATGATGCAAAGATTGATTGCATATGTTAAAAGACAAAAGATATATAAAAAGAGCTTAATTTCTCATTTTTGGAATGACCTTGACCTTTGACCTTGACAAAATATTCAAGATCAAAGGTCAAGAGTCACAATGCAATTGACCCCATGCTTCTACCATTTATAGTTTTCAAGATACAAGGTTTAATAGTAAGTATAAAGAAGTTAAAGGGCAATAACTCATATAAGGGGTCATCAGAATCTTTTGCACTTATATTATGAAGTTAGGACTAAAGACCCTTAAGACATTAGTAAAGGTTTGGTGTCTCTAGGGTGTACAGTTTCGGAGGAGTAGCGATAACAAGGTTTTTCGCACAAGGGGCAATAACTTTTAAAAGGTTTAATTTTAGGGGACAAGAATGAAATCTTTGAAACAGTTTTAAGAGTACATATTAATGATGCATAGACATTAAGTATATATTAAAAGACAAAAGAGATACAAAAAGAGCTTATTTTCTCATTTTTGGAATGACCTTGACCTTTGACCTTAACACGAAGTTTAAGGTCAAAGGTCAATGAATCTTATGCAGGTGGTCCCATGTCTCTACGACTTCTTGTTTTGAAAATTTTTAATTATTTGTGAAATTCAAAAAGTTTCAGGGGCAATAACTCATTGAAGGGGTCACCGAATACTTTCGCAATGAATAGATTGAAGAGTCCCCAAAATTGGTCGAAGACATTCATGAAGGTTTCATACCTCTGCGATTTACGGTTTCTGAGGAGTAGCGATAACAAGCATTTCTTGCGAAAGGGGCAATAACTACGAAAGCGGTTAAGGTTCATTTACGCAGGGTCAACTGCAAACATCTTTTACAGAGTACATTCCTATGAACTATAAATCTTT